AAAAGAATAGGGAAGTGCCAGCCCTACTCCTTGCAGGGCGTAGAAGAGGGGGACCATTTTTAACCGGATATACCAGGACCCGTAAATCCGGTAAATTTGTCCGTGGGATGATGGAAAGAAGGATAGATGATGATGGTGGCGTAGGAGATGGGAGCTGTGTGAGAGGCTGCTTATCCACATTGCAAGAAATACTTTATTTTTTGTAGTGTTGAATGGTCGTTGATTTTATTAAAGCTTATGGTCGAATGGTTTAACTCAATGGTTGAACGGTCGTTGGTTTAGTATTATAAGAAGGAAATTTTGTCTTGGGTGCTTGTTCCTCAGACTAGCGCACCACGTATCATCAACAGATCACGCTCCTTATATCATGCTGTGATTTCTGTTGTGATTACTGCTGGGAGTATTTACCTCCAGGTTACGTCGTGAACATTTCTCTCCAGATATTACGATCTCTGTCGACTCGTAGGGAAGTTACGAATGGGGTAGCGAATCCTCTCTCTTGTCCAAAGGTTATAGACACACTAAAAAGGGGAGTTTACATCCTCTAGGTATGGGCTCTATATCTCTGTTGGACCACAAGACCTATTTTTTTAGGTCTGACTTTTCCTGCTGGGCAGAAGAGGCGGAATTGAAGCCCTAACTCAAAGGTTAAATTAATGTTCGTGTTTATGCGGCGACAGTAATCTTGTCTTGCCAAAACAATTACTTATCAATCAATCCAAGGGCGAGGTTCATGGGGCGATGTTGCTCGTGGGGAGATGTTGTTGGAGTTGCTTCTGGGGTGATGTTGTTGGTGTTGCACCTTTGATGGTGCTGCACCTGGATGCGACGACCATTAATATTAACAATGATAGCTTGAATAATATTCAACACCAGCAGCAGCAGCAGGAGGAGGAGAGTCGTCACGAATCTCAATTGTTATCAGCGCAAGAGTGTTGCCTTGGGAACAATATCGTAAATACCTGTTCATACCCAAATATTAACATATTTGCTTCCGGAATATTTGTTTTTGTTAATGCCTTCCGAGAGGCAGAGGTTAAATAAAAGCGCATCACGATGCTGTCTTTACAATCAGCTGTAATATTCATTAGTATAAACACAGACTGTTTGGCATGACTGACTTCCCCCTCACCTTTAATAGCTTTCCTCCAGGAAAATCTCCTAAAGGAGAGTGTCTGTCTCCTCCTTGTGTATGCGTCGTTTCGCCGCCTTTCCTTAAGTGTGTGTGTTTTGAGACGGGGGGAGAGCAGCTTGAAAATTTCTGAGAAATCAGCTCTCATAAAACGGCGAGTTATTAGTCATGCCGGAGAAAATAATTTTGGGCAGTTGTGCTTGCATAGCAGGTATAGAGCAGTCCTCTTTATCTTTACATTTGGCATAAACTCCTTAGTATATATATATATATATATATATATATATGTCGTACCTAGTAGCCAGAACGCACTTCTCAGCCTACTATGCAAGGCCCGATTTGCCTAATAAGCCAAGTTTTCATGAATTAGTTGTTTTTCGACTACCTAACCTACCTAACCTAACCTAACCTAACTTTTTCGGCTACCTAACCAAACCTAACCTATAGAGATAGGTTAGGTTAGGTTAGGTAGGGTTGGTTAGGTTCGGTCATATATCTACGTTAATTTTAACTCCAATAAAAAAAAATTTACCTCATACATAATGAAATGGGTAGCTTTATCATTTCGTAAGAAAAAAATTTGAAAAAATATATTAATTCAGGAAAACTTGGCTTACTAGGCAAATCGGGCCTTGAATAGTAGGCCAAAAAGTGAGTTCTGGCTACTAGGTACGACATATATATATATATATATATATATATATATATATATATATATATATATATATAATGCGTTAGTTTTTTCCCCAAGGCGTCCACTTTTTACCAGTTTCCGTGACGCTTGGCTGAGTGGTTAGTGTCCCAATACTGATTAGGGTCCTAGAAGGCAATCTGCCGTGGGTTTTTGGGGTGTAAGAGAATACGGGGGGGGGGGGGGTTGAGTTTACCTGGAGTAGGAGGTTTTAAGAGTATTGAAAACCTGTCGGTATCCTGGTTTGTGTAATGATAATTTGATTAGTTAGTGATCAATAATCACACACACACACACACATTTTTTTTATTTAGAAGCATTTCCCGTGTGTATAGATATGTATTTATGGCATGTAGTGGTAAAAAGAAAATCCATTGCAATGTGAAGCACGGATAACTGGGAGATTGGCAGAAACCAGCTTAACTGGATTATTGTCAATCCGGTTAAATGGGAGGTTTTGGTAAAATTGGTTAGCTAAATCTGGTATATCCGGTTGGACAGAGAAATTGCTTAAACCCGGTAGGCTTGGGAATTTGCGTAAACCGAAATGGTACACAGGCTTTTTTTGTTTGTAAGTTCAGTTGGCTAGGAGACTTTGTTAATCCTAGCTGGTCTTGATTATGTCCAGTTGACTAGAAAAGTTCTGTGTTTGTTGTCCGTTAAGATTTGTTATATAAATTATGAGGAAAGGCGACGCGGTGCCAATTTGTGTTCAGTTCTGTTGTATATGTAGTAAGCTCCCCCTTCTCTTTCCCAGTCTCCCCCTCTCCCAGTCTCCCGCCCTCTCATCTCTTCCTCTTTTCTCATTTCTCTTTCCCTATCCCTCTCTCCAACGTTCTTCCTCTCCTACATCTTCCCCCCCCCCCCACTCTTCCCCCAAAATCTCCAACCATCTCCCTTCTCGCCCTTCTTTCCCCTCTCTTTCATTTATTATTGCGATTTTTGTATTAACACATTTAAGTATATCAGCATTTAAGTATAGCAGCTCCCCTAGACTATATGAAGAGGAGTACAGAGTATATCAAAGAACTAGCTACGTGATGCTAAAGTCCCCATCACACAGGATGGTTAGTCATACAGAGGCACGTGATCAGTAGTCTACACTGGCACACTCTAGATGAATTATGATGATACCATCAAGAACAAAAAGCTCCAGGTACCTCATACTAAAACAGCTTAATAACTCTATGAAAAACACAAACTTTGGCCCTTGGGAGTCACCTTGCTGCCCTGAGGGTACCCTGGTTCTGTCGAGCCCCTGGCCATGGGGGAAGATACCTTGCTGCCCTGAGGGTACCCTGGTTCTGTCGAGCCCCTGGCCATGGGGGAAGATACCTTGCTGCCCTGAGGGTACCCTGGTTCTGTCGAGCCCCTGGCCATGGGGGAAGATACCTTGCTGCCCTGGGGGGGTACCCTAGGTCAGGCGAGGTCGTCCTCACGCCTCAACTATTGTCTACGCTCCTCCGGCCCAACACTGCAAGCCAAGAAGTCTAGTTTCAGACTTCATGCTGTATGTCGCAGTTCACCTAACACTCTCCCTTGCTCCACGTATCCCCCAAACTAACCTTCACTCTCCCCAGTGCCCCGAGAAGACACGCCCCAGTGCCACGTGCGCCGAGTCATGCCCCGGTGCCACGTGCTACACCTGAGACATAAACATTTCTCAACGTCACACGGGCTGTTGGCTTAGAGAATGAATATCCTGATGAGTTCTCCCTCTTCACTCCACCCTTCCTTCCGTCCTCCCCTCCGTCTTAATCCTTCACGTATGTATTCCACCTCATATACGTTCTTCGTATGTATTACTATATATGGGCCAATAGGCCTTATGCAGTATACCTTTATTATTATATATATCTTATATCTATATATATTATATATATATATATATATATATTCTCCTCTCCTCCGTCTTAATCCTTCACGTGTATTCTTATATCCTATTTCACTGTTGTTGATATATATATATATATATATATATATATATATATATATATATATATATATATATATATATATATATATATATATAAAGTTTGTGATATCTGGTGCCATGTGGGGACCCATAGCCTCGGATAAAAAGTATTCAGAGGAGACCTTGTGGTCTCTCACTGAACACTAATATTATCCTCTCCTACCACCCCCATTCTTTTGTGTGAACTTTGTTACAAAAAAGTGTGTGTGTGTGTGATTCTCCTCTCCACCAGGGATGTGAGGTCAAGTTTCCTTAATCTATCCTCATGGCCTTCTTGTTACAAACTTTTGTACTTGTTTATAATTTTGGCTGTTTCACTAGTGCGGATTCCAGGTTAGGCCGGTGCTGCATATTCCAGTCTTGGTCAAACAAAGGCTGTGGAGAGTGTCTTGAAAGTCTCCTGATTTAGGCTTTTAAACATCGTTTTGATGTTGGCCAGCGTTATATATGCTGCCCATGTTTACGTACACCTCTGGAGATTATGTACATCATTTATTATATTAGGCACGGGTGGTACGCGAACAAGGGAACACAGGTGGAAACTGAGAGCCCAAATGAGCCACTGGGACGTTAGAAAGAACTTTTTCAGTGTCAGAGTAGTTAACAGGTGGAAGCATTAGGCTGTGATGTGGTGGAGGTTGACTCCATACACAGTTTCAAGGGTAGATATGATTCAGTAGGCACTTGAATCTGTACACCAGTTGATTGACAGTTAAGAGGCGGGAACAAAGAGCCAAAGCTCAACCCCGACAAACACAACTAGGTTAGTACATCCCCCAATCCTTTACTCTTTCCGACTCACGTAGTTACCTTCCCCTTATAATACCTGATTTCCTTTGTAAATATACAATCTTCATTACCTTACACTTGCTTGGATTGAATTCTAGCAATCATTTGTTTCCATACTCATAGAGTTGGTCAAGGTCACCCTGTAACTTTCTGCAGTCTTCCTCGGTTTTACACTGAGGGTGTGAGGGAGGAGAGTGGGAGGAAGGAGCCCGACAGAGAGGCGGGTGTGAGGGAGGAGAGTGTGAGGAAGGAGCCCGGCAGAGAGGCGGGTGTGAGGGAGGAGAGTGTGAGGAAGGAGCCCGGCAGGGAGTCGCAGCCGCTGACGGTAAACAAGGGGCCGGGGACCGAGGAAACCACTAATACAGTGAGGTGGTGCTTGCCGGTGTGACGGCCGTGTTTTTTCCTGTTAACCTTTAAAGGGGACGGGTGGAGAGTTCTGGCGCACGTTCGCTGACTCTGCTGGAGCTGCTGCTGCTGATGGTGATGTTGCTGGGGGTTGCTGGAACTGTTGCTGCTGCTGGAGCTGCTGCTGCTGCTGGTGATGTTGCTAGGGTTGCTGGAACTGTTGCTGCTGCTGGAGCTGCTGCTGCTGCTGGTGATGTTGCTAGGGTTGCTGGAACTGTTGCTGCTGCTGGAGCTGCTGCTGCTGCTGGTGATGTTGCTAGGGTTGCTGGAACTGTTGCTGCTGCTGGAGCTGCTGCTGGAGCTGCTGTTGCTGCTGCTGGAGCTGCTGCTGGAGCTGCTGCTGGAGCTGCTGCTGCTGCTGTTGATGCTGGTGCCAGTCTTGCTCTAATTGCCAGAGTTGGTTCTTCTGACAATACTGGAATCTTAATTACCAAAGGCGGATTCAGTCACTTATATACTTCCGGTTGCTGGCACTGTCATTATTCTTGTTCCTGTCACTGTCATTCTGGTTGAAGTTGGTTCAATGCACGCTGCATTATCAAGCTTACCATGAACCAGCCTTATGTCAAATGAGGTTGGTTCATGGTTCGATATTGCATTTCGATCATCAAAAAGTTCACTGGTAATGGTAAAAGGTAGTAACAGGTTAAGAATATTAAGTATTCGATTACTAGTGATTCTGACAATATTAATAACAATAGAAATAAGTTTTAGTTTTTTTTCGGACTATAAAAACAGAACAAAAAGTGACATACTGGTACTACAGTACTACATATAGGTACTGTGGTCCACATAGTTTTAAAAAGTACTCTGAAAACAGGAGAATGGTTTGTCTACTGGGAATACTGGCGAAGGGAGTGAACCATCAGGTGTAAAGCGCCAAGCCATTACGACTATGTAGAGCTTGGAAGTGGGCCAGGAAAAGAATTTTGGGTTGGGACGGGGAGAAAGGAATGGTGCCCAACCACTTGTGGACGGTCGGGGATTAAACGCCGACCTGCATTAAGTGAGACTGTCGCTCTACCATCCACCCCAAGTGGTGAGTTACAGCGTCCTGAAGTTAATTTTTCAGTCATATTAAGGAGAAAACAATATCATTAGGCCTGTGTTGAAGGTAAGCGAGAGTGACAAGGAAGTCTCGAATACTTAGTTTTATCTTTGTCGTGTAACAAGTCCATACAAGGTATAACGAGTATCTACGGGTTAAAGAGCTTTTGTCGTTCGGATATACGGTCGCGTATAGCTTGGTATGCATGTGTATATCCCAGTTATCCCAGTTAATCTGTTACCAGTCAGAAAATTTTCACTTCTAGATATCAAATGCCTTCGTATAGTGAACTGTATTCTGAACCCAGTGTTCTGAACACATCACATATTAGATGGACAGTATAGTATTCTGAACTCGAACCCCATCACATACAAGGTGGACCCAACTGAGCCCAGTGACCAACCCGAACCCCATCACACTAGGTGGACCCATGCGCCTAACGTGAATGACAATAATATATATTTATTTTTTACATACTATGAGTTAGTGTGTTGTCATAGCTCTCGTGACAAGCCTGACGGTATTTAAAAGCTTAAAAAACTGTGGTGGATAACGGTTTTAACCGTTGCTCTTCGTCTCGTTCGTCATAAGTCACGTTTATTTGTTTGTTTTAAACAACATGACATTAACAGGATTAGCCGTTATTGGTAAATGTATTTATTTATGTTCCTGTCCGACACTGTTATGTTAAATAATAAAAAGGGGTTTGAATCACAGTTCAAAAATGCTCGTGTGTCTGTGTACTATTAATCATAATTCGGCTTTATTTCGCTTTGTCATTCGCTGCACTGCAATTAAGTGCAGCAATATTTGCAACATTGTGCGAGGGTTGAGTCGGTATAACGGGAATGTTATTGTATGTTGGCGTGTGTTAGCATTTTTGTGTATACGCTTATTTGACCTTTTGTGAGGCGAGCTTCAGCTCTCGAGTCCCGTCTCTCCAACTTCTGGCAGTAGACAAACACAAAACTGTCCATATCCTTCTGTCTACGATAAAGATACGTGAATTTAGAGACAGCTCTATAACCAATGTTCCAACGATGTATAAATATTTCATTCAAAATTATCTGCTACCAGAAATTTTAGCCAAATATCCCTAGTTATATATCCCTGAATTGTGGGGTTTAGTCCCTGAGCCCATTATGTACCTCTGTAACACTTTCCACTGCCGCCCACAAGATGGGTATGGGGTGCATAATAAATGAACTAAACTAACTCCTGTCTTGTCTGACCTTATCCGTATACGTCCATCAGGTTTGAGATCTCTGTTTTGCCTTCTCTGAACCCATGTTGGTGTCTCACCACTAGTGCTCTTCTCACCAGATGTTCCACTTTTGATCATGTTATCTTCTATATCACCTTTGAGTGCTTTATTGCCTTTTTTCTCATCTTTTGTATACATTGACAATATACACTCGACACTCGACGAAACGCCCGGCGAGTGTCTCACCACTACGCCATGGGGACTTATTCTCATTCTATCATGTTCGTATTATGCAGTTTGTTATGCAGGCGATGAGTCACAATAACGTGGCTGAAGTATGTTGACCAGACCACACACTAGAAATTGAAGGGACGACGACGTTTCGGTCCGTCCTGGACCATTCTCAAGTCGATTGCGAGTCCATTCTCACAATCGACTTGAGAATGGTCCAGGACGGACCGAAACGTCGTCGTCCCTTCAATTTCTAGTGTGTGGTCTGGTCAACAGTTTGTTATGTTTTTTTTTTATATAATTACTATGTTAGATAAATACAAAATACCTTAGGAATGGAAAAGTAACATATTTTTTGTCCATTATGGATCAGTATTTTGTAAGAGATTGTTATATAATTTTATAATTCTCTCTCAATTTTCATTTTCATTCACACATTATAATGTTTGTGATTCCTGTTTTATGCGCGTGTTTTTGGGTGAAGAAGTTTTTGCGTTTTCGGGTACATCTCTGAAGTTCAATCCCCCCATCCCTTCCAACCATGGCATTCCAGATAGATATTTACTCATTCTTTAATATCTTTCAGTTTAATACGCCGGTCTGCGTCTATCAAGTATCTATTTTGCATTCAACTTACCTTTATTTTTCATCTGCATACCCAAGGGGTGACAATAATAATTGCTCAGTCATGTAACACTGAGTTGGCTGTGTTAATCAAAGAAGTTTCATGAATAATTCTGAACTCACTGTATCTTGGGAAAACGCTGAAGTAGTGACCATTCGGGTAAAACTGTTTACTGACCCTTGAAAAGAAGGCTTTAGTGTGTTCGAGTCCTGTCATACGTAATTGTTATAGACAACCTGTAATCCAAAAATTATAGTACCTTTATCAACTTGAATTATAGTACCTTTGTCGAACATATACAAATATTGAATCCACATGAAACCTGAAGGCTTCTGCTGAAGCCAATCGAAGTTTTACATATTAGCTCCTTTAGCCCTCACATGTAAATGTTTTTTTTTTACACGAAATGGAAAATTGGTAGCGCTACGAAAAATATAAAATTGTTGTATCTCACGCTGTATAAACTAGAATTGCTACATTTTGTATCACAGTATGTATATTTGATTACTAGGTGCTTATACACAGCTCCACGCGAACAGCCTCCAGGATACTCGTAAAACGAGAAATAATGCATTTGCAGATATTATGTTCTATTGCACTTCCTGTGAAGAACACAAGCCTCCTCCTCCTCCTCTTCGTATCCTTTGTATATTCTTCTAAGTTCTAAATATCGAGTCTCTTAGTTGTCGTATCTTTATCAAGGATCCCGGGTTCGATCCCCTGGGTGGGACAGAAACAGTCGAGCACCTTTCCTTTCACCTAATGCACCTAGCAGTAAATAAGTACCCTGCTGAAGTTAGGCAAGTGATAGGGGTTTGCAGCCTGTGTAGGGTCAGTAGTAGTGTCGATAGTGCCCCCTGAAGATGAAGAGGCTGCGACACCCGGAGATGTGGATGCTTGAAGGTATGTATTGCCTGTTAGAGGAATAAGGGATCCTGGACGCAAGACTTGTATTTATTATTAACCTAAAGCGTTTATTTAATAGAGTTTGCAATTGGTGCGTAAAATTACGACATATTGGAGATAATGTTGATATATTTAGGTGATGTAGTGATTGACACAGTGTTCTTGTTATTATTTATCTACCAGTGATTGTTGGGAGTGAGGTCTAGCTCCTTATATTGTTGATATTGTGTAACTAAAATTATTAATTTACTAAAAAGAAGAGTAAACAAGTTTTAGTTTAATTTTCGCTTCGTCATACTGGAGTGGTTTAATCATTGCGGCATATTAGTATATCATATTGTGGGTAGCATATCTTGCTCAACCTGGTCAAATATAGTCTAATTGTCTCTTATCTTCCCTTCTCCGGGTCGCCCTTTTTCCCTTCTCCTGCACACACCCCTGCCCTTTCTCCTGCACACACCCCTTCCCATTCTCCTGCACACACCCCTGCCCCTTCTCCTGCACACACCCCTTTCCCTTCTCCTGCACACTCCCCTGCCCCTTCTCCTGCACACACCCCTTCCCCTTCTCCTGCACACTCCCCTGCCCCTTCTCCTGCACACACCGCTGCCCCTCTCGACGAGTGCTCACTGATGCAGGTGATCAGCCAAAATTCGTACAATTGAATTTCTTGTTCAGAAGGCTGAGGAGCCTCACATCTTTCACGCGTAAACGAATATAAGATGGAACTCTTCATTGTCATGCGATTATGACCTCTGTGTGATCTCTTCTGAAGAATTATTATCACGTAATGGAAGCAGCAGGCGACTCCTTTCCCCTCCTTCCCTCTAGACCTCCCGTTCCCCCTTCTTCCCCATTCCACCATCTACTACCCCCCTTCCAACTTTCCCATCCTTCCATTCCTTTCTCCCTATCCCAGCGCCGCCGTCTTGAACGACTCCTGACTCCAGGTAATGCAATTCGTGCTTTTTGCCCTTCGGTCTAGAATTATGCCGTTTCGCCGCGGAGTTTCACGAGTGGGCGGAGAGAATTTAGGTGTAGGGGTGTGGAATATTTATTAAAGTAAACTCCAGTTACCAGTCTAGATGAGTTGGGTTTACAGGGCGTCTTTGTATGCCTCGGAAACCAACCAGGTGTTGTGTAAGGGGGTGTTGGGAGAGGATGAATTTTTTCCCCTTGCGTCAATACGTAAATGGTTTCCCTTGCCATTGATGTGTATTCTTGGTCTTCACAGGTATCTTGATCAGTGATTTGTCCCCCCCCTGTTGGTTTGGGGGTTGAAATTGTCGAAATGATACGTGATCTCTGCTCGTCACGGTCTTCTGTTTAATCTCTGCATCGTCTGGGTGCAGTGGACGGGGAACCGTTGGGGATATAAGACAGGGAGAACATTGACCTTAAGCATAAACTCGATTGGTGAAGCTTTCATGCAAGTATGAACACACACACACACACACACACACACACACACACACACACACACATTAGTAGTTAGTAACAGTTGAGAGGCGGGCCGAAAGAGCAGAGCTCAACCCCCGCAAGCACAACTAGGTGAATACAACAAACAGACACTTTCTGCATTATTCTTAATTGAAGTACTGTGCATACATGATAATTATATATAGTTTAATTTCATTACATAGAGACGGAATATTTTGATTCCGCCTGAAGTTTGTAGCTAAAGGTTACTCATTAGTTATATATCATTGTGGTAATTGTTATTTCAATAGCCGGAAATAAATTATATGCCCAGGTGTTACGAACCCGGATCCAGCGTCCGAGCAAGGAGCAGTGACAACCACGCCATCTGTGGGTCAGCTCACGAAACCCCTGCCAAACGGACGACGACACCTAGTGAGGACAGCGTGTACTGGCCTCGAGGACCAGTTTCCAGTCTGGTTCAGCGCTCAACACCGCCGCTCCTGACCTCTGGTGAGGTGGTGCTCCGACGACAGCGCCATCTATGGACTGGATACGTCAGGTGTTAGTATCTGAGCCTGTAAGTGAGATGTATTAGTGTCCCAGTTATTGATGACGTGTCTGCTTACAGAGTCGACCTGGGACTACTGTGATGGGAGTGGAGTCAGTCTACCCGAGGCAGCCAGTCTCCATACTGTGAAGTTTGCTGCAGCTGTTGTGACGTCGTCCCCCCGGAAGAACACTGTGGTGTGTTAGCCTGCCAGTGGAGTGGCAGTGAAAGGATTTACCCGGGACCGACGGTTGGAGACGATAATCCACTGGGGTATTGAGGACAGGAGGGTGATTGGTGATATCACACGAGACTCCTGTCTAGGGCGTACCCCTTATATCGTTCGTGGAGTGGCCGTACCAGCCTTGGTGGCTCAGTACCTGCCAGCAGACCAGCTGGACGTGTGGTTGACGGCCTCCACGACGGTGCCCCCAGTGGACCTGTGTTTTGGCTGACCTGTGGCCAGGGTAGGCTCGGCATTCTCAGAAGACACGTCTTGAGGCCACGAAGAAAGCACCGCGGACTCAGCACCTAGCTTCGTGATCAAGAGTCTTCAGCAGAAGACTAGATTGTGCATGATCCCCTTGTAAAGTGTTAATACCCCTCCCCCTTGTGTACTCTTTTATTCTATATATTTAATCGGTGATGGTGAACATTATAATATTAAGTTCTTAACTTTCTTTCCCTACTCCCTTTTAAGTTACTTGCGTCACGGATCTCATCCCTTGATAGCCGCTACTGACTTGGGAACGGATACATATATCTTCCTCTAACAACATCAGAGTGAGAACCCCGTTGCGTCCCGAGAGGGCCGTAACACCAGGCAAATTATAAACATTCCCAGTGATTATGTTTAAATTGTTTGTAGCAGAAACAAGACTCTTAAGAGAGAAAGCAAACAATTTTCTGTGTTGTTTAGTGTGTTTGGCACATCGAAATTGCGTTAATCAAATACAATTCCCGCCAAACACACACCGAAACTACGCCGTTGGTACAACGTTCGAACAAGTTTTAACGCCTAACCAGTTATAACAACCAATATAGCAAGTTGTAACAACGTTCTAATACGTCATAAACACGTTAAGCCAAGATGTAACAACTTTATTACTAATTGTAACAAGCGGAAAATAGAGACAGTTTCGGTTTGTGTTTCCAGAGAAGTGAATAGTGAAACCTAAATTTCTATTTACGAAAACATATTCCCATCAGAAAGAAGGGAATAGTCAGGAATTGCGAATTCCATATCAGCTTGAGGAAATTCGGGTGTCTCAGGCCCCCAGAAACCCAGCATTGGTGGGTATTGAAAAGTTGTCGAGGCCTTCTTGAGGTTATCTTGAGATGATTTCGGGGCTTTAGTGTCCCCGCGGCCCGGTCCTCGACCAGGCCTCCACCCCCAGGAAGCAGCCCGTGACAGCTGACTAACTCCCAGGTACCTATTTACTGCTAGGTAACAGGGGCATTCAGGGT